GGGGGGGGGGGGGGGGGGGGGGGGGGGGGGGGGGGGGGGGGGGGGGGGGGGGGGGGGGGGGGGGGGGGGGGGGGGGGGGGAGAAGGCATGTGTGAGACATCATATGCAGCGAGGGAAGCAGGCGAGGGACGGGCGACCAAGGAAGAGGCAGGGCGCGATAGGCAGATCCCGAGCGCGCGCCGCAACAGGCACACCAAGGCACGCCAGGGCACACCAGGGCACACCAGGGCACACCAGGGCACGCCAAGACACGCCAAGGCACCGAGACTGCGGCGCACCTGTTCACAAAGAAGATCTTCACGAAGATGGTGACGATGACCGTCATGTAGAGCTGCGTCCCGCGGGAGATCAGGTCGAAGGTCCGGCCATCGCGCTGGATGGCGCCCCCCTCGGCGCCCGGGATGTTCATGCCGAAGACAAACTGCTGGAGGATCTGGTAGATGATCAGGGCATTGGTGATGGCCCCGGCGATGGACTTGAGGAAGGACCACAAGTTGAAGAAGTCGTTGCGCGGCCCGGTGCGGTAGAGCTCCGGATCGCGGGCCAGCCAGGCGTCCGGCAGGTCCTGGTCCAGGACCCCCACGAAGATGATCGGCAGGAAGGTGTAGATGACATTCCACAGGGCATTGGACAGCGGGTCCCAGGCCAGCTGGCCACTGAAGCCATTGTCAAAGGTGAAGAAGAAGCTCACCATGTACAGGGTCATGGTCTTGTACAGGGAGTAGAGGATGACCTTGCTCAGGCGCCGGTAGGTCCGGTGGCCGTGGACCATGAGCAGCGGCGCGAGGAAGCTGCGTGTGCCGGGGGGGGGGAGCGTATGTTGGGTGTGTTTGGTTGGTTTGGCCGTGCGTGAGCAATCGGAGGATGCGACCGATGGACCGGGCAGGCGCGGAGCACGGACGGGATGTGCGTGCGCGTGCGCGCCGAGGGTCGCCAGGGACACCGGCCAGAACAGCGGGGCGGAGGTCAGTGGCTGTACAGAGGCGGGCCGGCGAGCGGGGCCGGCGAGCGGGGAAAACCATGTTTTTTTTCGGCGGCCACGCACCGGAACTGGGCCGTGGAATAGTCGGCGCTGCGCGCGGCGGCCATCCCCTCGGCGCCCGAGATGCCGATCCCCACGCAGGCCGTCTGGATCATGGTGATGTCGTTGGCCCCGTCGCCGATGGCCAGCGTGGTGCACTGGATGGGCGTCGACGCCCGGACCAGGGACACCACTTCGGCCTTCTGCAGGGGCGAGGCCCGGCAAAAGACGCACGACTTGCACACCAGTGCCAGGCGCACCAGCAGCCCCCGGGCCGTGGGATCGGCCAGGGCCAGGGCCAGGGCCGAGCCCTCCAGCACCAGGGTCAGGTCCTCGATGACCGTCTCGGCACGGGGTCGCGCCATCAGCAGCACCTGCCGCCAGAGGGGATCCCGCAGCCGGGGCGGCTTGTCCGGGTCCATGCCCAGCTCGGACAGGGTGGCCCGCAGCCAGGCGGTCACATCCTCCAGCGTGTCGGCGTCCGTGGTCAAGATGCGCCCGCGATTCGGGACCAGCTGCGAGCACATGCCAATGTTGATGGCGGTCTCGCGCTTGTCGCCGGTCAGCATCCACACCCGGATGCCGCACTGCAGCAGGGTCTGGATGGTCTCCGGCACGCCCTCCTGCAGCTGGTCCTCGATGGCCGTGGCCCCGAGGAGGGTCAGGTTGCGCTCGACCTCCTCATGGCACAGCTCCATCTGCCGAGTGTCCCGGTGCATGGGAGGGCCGCATGAGGGAGGGAAGAGGGAGGCGCGCATGCGCACCGGCCGGGGGGGACACATATGGGAATGGGCGGGTCAGTGTGAGCCGGAGGTGTGTGGGCGCGGCAGGTGTGCCCAAGGCCAGGGACCGAGGGGGCCGGTCACGCGCGGCAGAGGCAGGACGCAGCCTCGGCCGGCCGAGGGCCCGGATATGTGCGCATGCGTGCGCACCTCCTCATACCGGCGGTCGAGCGTCGTGCAGGCCAGATGGTACCGCCGGCGCCAATCGTCATATGTCTCCGGGTCAATCTCGCCCACGGCATAGCACAGCGTGCGCAGGCCCTCGCGCGAGAAGTCCTGCACGGGCCAGCGGCGCAGTCAGGACAGCGAGGATCATCGGCAGGGGGAAGGGGGGCGGGCAGGCGGGCAGGCGGGCAGGCGGGCAGGCGGGGTACGGCACGCCAGGTGTCAGGAGAAAGCCCGGGAAAGACAAACACACAACAAGCAAGCAGCCGCCCGGCCCTGCCCCGTGGCGGGGAGGGGGCGGCGCAAAAGCAGACGCACCTCCAGGTGCCCGGCCGTGGCGGCGGTCAGCGACGATTGGCGACTCTCCTCCGAAAGCCGGGCCAGCATGGTGTTGTCGGCCCCCTTGCAGAAGATGAGCACCCGGCCGGCCGCATCACGGACGATGATGCTCATGCGCTTGCGATCGGCGTCGAACTCCAGCACATGCAGCAGGGCGAAGTCCAGCGTCACCCAGGTGTCCTCGTCGGTGCCCGGGTCCTCCGGGCTCGGCAGGGGGCCGATGTCGGTCGAACGGCCGTCCACCAGTGCCCGCGGCACGCGGATGCCCACATGCTCCGGTGTGCGCCGGGTGAAGCGCACGCCCAGGAGATTGGCCGCCTGCACGAGGGCCACCTCGTCCGGCGAGGCCCCCTGATACTGGACATGCTCCAGCCCGCATCCGGCCGAGATGATGCCCGGGGTGGACGCCCCGGAGGTTTGGTCGTCGCCGGCCGACCGCCGATGGCTCGGCAGAGTCGTGTGGCACAGGGCCATGGCCAGGATGAAGGTGGCCGGGGTGATGGGCAATTTGGTGCCGGGCTCCGGCATCGGCGACCCCGGACACACCAGCGGCCCGAGCTTCATCCCGGCCGCCGAGGCGTACACATCCTGCAGCAGCTGCGGGTCGTAGAAGCGCCAATCGGCCTGAGAAGGGGGGGGACCATCCCCGCGCGGGAAGAGGAGTGGCCGTTACCCGAGGGACAGGGGGATGACACACGGACACGGACAGGGATACGCACGCGGATGCGCGGAAGGGGGAAGAGCAAGGAGGCAGGGAACGTCACTGGTCAGGGACATGCGAGGGGGGATTTCAAAGCCAGGAGGGGCTCTGTGCCCTGATCCAGGGCGCTGGGGGGAGGGGGGGGGGGGGGGGGCGGGGGGCGGGGGGCACGCACATGCAGGTCGGCCATCTCAGCCGGGTCGGCCGGCAGCAGGCACCCCCGGGCACGCTCCATGGCCCGGTAGGACTCGGTGAAGCCGAGCCCATACGACCGGCCAAGGATGCTGCACTTGCGGAAGAGCATGTGGTTGCGTGTCAGGGTGCCAGTCTTGTCGGCGAAGACGAAGTCCACCTGGCCGAGAGCCTCGCCGATGTTCGGCGTCCGAGCCACGGTCGGCGTGCCGGTGGCCTCGTGGAAGAGCTTCAGGTCGCGGCTGACGAAGAATGCCTGGTAGATTTTGACAATCTCGATGGTGATGTACAGACTGACGGCAAGACCGGCCGATGGGGTCCAGGCAGCGCGGCGCAAGGAGCAGGCCGGTCAGCATCCGGGATGCGAGCGCGGGCCGCAGGCGCGGCAAAGCGGGCGCAAGGGGGGAAAGAGAAAGAGGGACAAGGTGTGTTGGGAGAGAATGGCCCGAGGTCGGACTTGCGGCTGGGAGGGGAGGGGGGGGGGGATGATGCGCGCCCGCCTACGCCCGTACCTGATCGGGATGATGGTGTTGTAGAGGATGATGAAACTGACAAACTGCGCCACCAGGTCCTTGGCCGTGCCGCGCTTCGTCACGCCCAGATACCAGGCGAAGGCGCCGGTCACCGGATCCGGCCGAAGGTGCTTGCGATTCCAGTTGATGTAGCAAATCAGGCAGATGATGGACATGAGAATCAGCAGGCCGAAGATGAAGGCGATCTGCCGGTTGACGGTCTTCTCCAGGAGGGACTTCTTCGGCGGCAGGGCCTCGGCATTGAGCATGAGCTTGGTCTGGTGCCCGGTGTAGAGGACCACCCCGAAGATGGCGGTCGTATTGCGCAGGCGCGTCCCGCGAAGGATCATCTGGTTGGGCCCCACCGGGAAGGACCGGCCGTCGGCCAGCTGCAGAGTCCCCTCGAAGCTGTAGAGTGACCGGTTGGGCGCCTCGTACTCGATGGCAGCTGCACGGGGGGATCGGGTGAGTGGCTGGTCGGGTCTCGGTCGCCGGCCGGAGCCATGAGGGCGGCACACGTACCGGCCATGGTGCGGACCTGCTCCACGGTCTGGAAGGCATTGGTCACCGGCAGGGCCTGGCGCGTTTTGAGGTTGGTCTCGCTGGGGGGGGGGGGGGGGGGGGGGGCAATGTTAGAGCAACATCCGCACGCAGAGCACCCACTCGGCCATCCGGCAGGCAGGGCCGGCGGAGGGAGGCACAAGGCACAGCCGCACCCGTCAAGCTGCGAGGTCTCAATGTGGCAAAGCCCATCGTCGGCAGTCGAGGAGATGAGGAACAAGTCCGCCGGGGCCGGGTCCCCATCACGCAGCATGACAATGTCGCCACTGCGGAGCTCTGGCCCGGGCGCCGGCGCACATTGTGGTCGGGGGGGGGGGGGGGGGGGGAAGGGACGCGCGTCAGTGAGCCGCTCCGGACCATCGGCCAGCGGTAGAGAGGGGCGTGAAACGCCGGAGGCCCCCGACCCCACCCCCTCGCCCATGGGGGGTGAGAAGCATGGCCGGAAGTGGACAAGCGCAAGCCCCGCCCAGGCGGGCTTCTCGCACGGACGCACCACTCCACCGGATCTCCCGGAGCTCCTCTTCCACATGCTCAAGGTGGTAATAGTCCGACATGAAGTCGGTCCCGGTGCCAAGGCTGAAGATGGATGTGAACCAATTCCGCGCCTTGACCCTGGCCACGTAGGGCCGCAGAACTTGGGTCTTTTGCCGGTTGGTCAGGATGTCCTGGCGCCGGCGCCGCTGTGACGTGCATACGCATGTGTGTGGCGCGAGGAGGGAGGGGGGGGAGTGAACAGGGGAGAGCATGGGGCGGAGGGCAAAGAGAGAGAGAGGGGGGGGAGCGGGGAGCGCGTGGGTGTCAGTGACAGGAGCAGGAACACGCTCAATAGACGGGGATCCAGCGCCCGGGCGGGTGCCAAGCAAAAGCGGGCCCATGCGCACGATGTCGAAGATCAGTTCCTTGATGCCGGTCAGGATGAGGATGATCACCAGCGGCACGAAGGTGTAGAAGCGTCCGGTGGGGGCCAGGCGAGTGGATGACATCTATCTCGCGCGGCCGGGCGCGATCCAGGCAAGCAAAGCCGGCGGTCCATGGCGAGGGCCGCAGAGTCAGAACCCGAGAGCGGGAGGAGGGCCCGGAGTGGGGGACACGCATGCGCGCCAAAGGGCGGGGGGAAGGGGCGGAGGAGCCGGCGCGATGTCTCGGCGCAAGCGCGCCCGCGAGAACACACCTGGATGGCCGAGATGCAGAGGAAGTAGAAGTTGGCCACGCGCTGGAACTGCTCGAAGAGGAACTTCGGCAGGAAGTTGAAGGGGTTGTACTTGGCCGTGACGATGGTGTTGTCGCGGAGCCACACAAACGGCCGGCCCTTCAGCAGGCAGACGGGGTCAACGTCGCCGGCGGCTTCGGCCTCGGCCAGTGCCTCCGGGTGAAAGGGCGAGACCAGGAGACATTCGTTGAGCGGCCGGCGGTTGATGTGCACCTGCATGTACCAGGCCGGCTGGTTGATGCCGGCAGCCATGGTCGGCCCTTTGGCCGGCGCATCGGACGCCGTGTCTGCTGGGTGCCCCGGCTCGGTGGACATCCTCGACCTGTTGGGCCTACGGGCCTGCGAGAGCGCCAGGGGGGGGGGG